TCAACTGGGGGCTTCTCAGATCTTCAGCTCCGACTGGTTTTCCATATTTAGAATCCCTATCTATAGGGTACTCTATAGGTATTCTAGATGGCATATGTAAGGTATCTTAAGGTATTCAACAGGGTATTCCTGGAAAGCCACCGAAAAAGGTAGATAACTGAGGGGGGGGGTAGCATATATATATATATATATGTATATATACATATATATATATATAAGTACACATACACATACATGCACGAGGATGGCTCCTATGGGGCACATGATGGCACCCGGCGGTGTGCAGACGTCGCCACCTGGGGCGGGAATGGCCAATGCTGGAGCCTCAGGGCTTTGTCAGACTTACTTAGAGGATCATGTGTGGGGTTCAGGGTTTTTGAGGGTTTACAAGGGTTTAGGGTTTATAAGGGCTCACAGTTTAGGGTTTACAAAAGGCTTGTAGGACCTGCTTAGAGGACCATGATTTTGGGGTTCAAGGGCGCTCTTTCAAGGTCCTGAAGGTGCACCATGAGGTTTAGGGTTGTGGACCCAGACCCTCGGGAGGATCTAGAAAGGATCTAGAGAGTAGAACCCCTTATTTCGGACCCTTTACTATTCAAGGTTTCTTTATAGGAACCCACATTAAGGGATCTACTTTCTAGATCCTCCCGGAGGTCTGGGAAGACCTACTTAGAGGATCATGGGACAAAGAAACCTATGTACTTGAAGGGTTCCCTGCAGGGATCTATGTGGCGTCTACAGGGTTTTGCGGTGCTCAGGGTCATCGGATGTGATAGCTACAGCTAAAGATAAGGTTCTCGTAACTGAAGAACTGGGTACCTGCAACTACGTCCCCTGCTCCTCCAAGTTGGCCGATGTGTTTTTACATGGGGCAAAGGAGGGCCCTTAAATCTCAAAGCCTTAAACTCTACACCTAGCAAAGTTTGAAATCCTGAGCCTTAAGGCCTAACAAACCCCTAAACCCCGAAGACCTGTTCTCATTAGGCAGGTTTCTATAGTAACCCTAAGCCTTTAACCCTAAAACTCTAAACCCTAAGCCCCGCAAGAGCCCCCTAAGCCCATGAAATCCTAAACCTTAAGCCCTTAAACCCTACACCCTAATCCCTACTTGGAGGTTCAGGGGACTGAACAAGTACAGTGAAAAGAAGCTTAGTTGAGGTCATAAGTAATTGAAAGTATAGTTACCTTATTTATCGCCCTAGTTACTAAGTCCCATGAACCTTTAAGTAAAATCCCTAAACCCTAAACCCTAAACCCCTAAACTCCTAAACCCCTAAACCCTAACCCCTAAACCCCCAAATCCCCAAACCCCTAAACCCCTAAACCCCCAAACTCC